AAATCATGATATTTAGCTTTTTGAAAATCTTAATAAAAGTAATACAACTCATGTATTATCACAAAGTCATGATTCATAACCTAACTAAGCCAATTAATTTAATCTTGCAGGCCTATTCAGAATAGGGGTAAGGCAATACAGGTAATTTGTTATTTTTATAGATCTTAAACTATCAAGCCTAAAATACTGAAATTTTTACCATACATCACTAATCACATTAGTAACACTCCATAAAAATTTCACATTTATTCGAGTAAAATAACTGCAGTTATGAAAAAGACAAGACACAACTAACATTAAAAACCTAACTACATAAATCTATTTTTACAGCAAAATATTTAAACTAAAACATGCCATATTATAGATCTACTGCATATATAAGTTCACAAGGATTCCAAAACGTCCTCATTTACTATTTTATGATTTTCCTACAAATTACTATGAATTTTCAAAGTGGAGCATTCAAATCTGCAAAAATCAGAGAAAGGAAATGTAAATCTTGCATCTAGGACCCTGAAGTTTCTACAAATTAAATCCAAACAAACAGATCCTTTACTACACTATTCATATGAGTCTACGGTTTGCAGTTTGGCCCTTCCCTTTCTTCTAATTGTTGTACGCAGCCCCTCACGCGAATCAGAGCAGGGGAGGCCATCGGAGCTCGCTGTTGCGGCCGGAGGCTGCTCGTCGGCGGCGGTGGAGTGGCGTGGAATGGCCAGGGGAGTCGTGCGCACCCACCGAGCTACACATCTTGGCCGGAGACGGTCCCAAGCGGCGCCCACGCTACCGAGGAGGCTTGCTCATCATGGTCGCTCCGTCGGCGAGCCACGTGGTGGCAGCACAAGACCGGAAAAAGGGTGTGGTAAGGTTCAGGAAGGGTCAAGGAGGGTTCGGTGGTGGCTGGGCGGGCTATGTGTTTGGTGTAGTGAAGGAACGAAGCGGTGGCCATGGAGCTTCCACGGCTGCCATGGCAAAGCAGCTCGAGCGAGAGGGAGAGCAAAGGCGAGAGAGAGTGCAGGAGGGAGTGAGAGGCGAGTGGGAGAGAAGCTCGGTGAGTGCTCTGGTGCTCCACTACATCGAGCAAGGCACAGGGGCGCGTGGCAGCAGGGCAAGCAATGGTGGGGCACGAACTGCTGCATGGCGACCACGTTGGTGTTCCGTCGAACAGGTGGCAGGCGCCGGAGTGGGCGAGGTGGACGTCGGATTGGGCCAAATCTAGGCCGATTTAGACCTTGGGCCCAAAACAAAATTTGAAGCCCGTGAACTGCTCTACATTTTCTATTTAAAGTGTACAGTCATTAGAGTTGTAGATTAGCGGTTAATCAAGTCCAAAGTTGACACTTCGTCAGCGTGTTGGCAATGAGTTAAGTAAACGCATAAAAATTGATCGTCCAACCAAAGTCAAACTAGTGCTACCTTTTTGCACGCTCTTCTCCACAATGTATACTCCAACTTTTATCTTTGGACCAAATCGAGTTGCTTAACGAATACACGAGAACGCGACATGCCAACGCCGATGACGATGAATTCCTTAGAATAATTCTAAGTCTGAAAACAGCCGCTGATTCAATCTTCGAGCCTCTGTTTGACTTATTTCCAAGTTGATCTAGCTCTTGGTCCAAAAAAAAGTTTGTTATACATAACATGGACTACAACTTTTATTGAGGTTCCACTACCATGGAAACACTCTAAGCTGCAGTTCAAACCATGTCAACGCAGCATCACGATAAAGCTTAAATTACCCTTTGCGATCCATTGGAGCATTTTCTTGGCATTTACTCAACATGAACCTTTCATGACTTTTGTTGTAAAGTTTATCTAGAGTCATTTGGGCAAGGTTGCAAGGTTTGGTTGGTGACCTAGAATTCCATTCTCTTTATAAAGCAATTTAGGCAAGGACATAACTCGTCATTTCATTTGACTTCTTGATTCCAAACTTTACGAAACTTTTCCATGGATCAATATAGATGAATATTGATGTGAGACACATGAAACAAGTACATCCAGTATTACTCAAGCATACTTTTTTAGAAAGGGCAACATGTAAGCAATGGTGCATGGTCCAAGTTTAAGTGGTGGCTCATTTCATATGTTTGCCCTAACATCTCCATCACCACTTAACATGCCATGGTTGAGCTTAAACCCATTGCTTAATTGGTGACAACATGTTGCAAGTGTTGCACATGCATGTTGCAAAAGTAGATCGAAATGTTGCACATGTTGCAATGGCTATACATGTATGTTGCAAGCATTTGTTCGAAATGTTTCATCTATTTTTTACTCGTATGTTGCAAGTTTTTTATATGGATGTTGCATATGTTTCACATAGATGTTGCAAGTATTTATTCGAAATGTTTCATCCATTTTAGACGTATGTTGCAAGTGTTTTATCAGAATATTGCATATGTTTCACACAGATGTTGCATGTGTTTGTTCCAAGTGTTTTATCTGTTTCAGACGTACGTTGCAGCAAGTTTTTTTTTGTGTTGCAAGTGTTTTCATGTTTCGAGCATTGAATGGGACGGTCAGAGTCACACAACGCACATCCACAGGCAGGGGTGCGAGCGCGATACAGAGCAGGTGCAGGCGCAAGCGGTCCCCGCGTGCGTGATATGGAGCAGGGCGCAGACAGTCCCTGCCTGCACGCAGGAAGCGAAGCAGAAGCCTGCAGTCTCTATGCACAAGCGGATGGTGCAGGCAGGGCGAGGCATCGGGGCGATGCGGGCGGGAAACGAAGGAGGGCACGGAAAAAAAGAGATGCACGTGACACGGGGTGAAGGCGTGGGCGTCCATCCGAACGTTCGGACGCTAGCATGTTCAAATTCTGAATGTGTGTTTTGGAAAAAAAAGGAAAAAAAAACTACCTGAAGTAAGTATAGAAACCAAACCAAAATAAGAAAGAGCCCAAACCAAAAACCCTCAAATCTCTACTGTTGTCTATAAATCAGACGTTACATTTGAAGAACTAGATTTAGCTCAAGTTCGTTGTCAAACCTTTAAAAATGTTAGTTCCACATTAGGTTAAATGTTATGAACCTATGTTTTTGAAAATGCTCATTGCCATTGACGCTTATACCAATTTCTATGTCAGCGGAAATTTTGCTTTCCCTTTAATACCACTGATTTTTGGTTTTCTCATCCCCTTTATGCCACTCAAGTAAACTATGTTACTTGAATCATCATTAATCACTGTTAATCACCATTAGAGGTAGCTGGCACGTCAGTTTTATGAAAAAAGAAATGGCCAAAGTCCATATCACGAATGGGTAACAGTGGGTATTGATACATCTGTCGGCCACTCGGCTGTCCGTCGCCGCTGCCGAGTGGCTAGCCCCAATGGATCATTCTCATCGAGCAGAAAGGGAAGGACACGCGCACCACATGGGTGGGCAGAAATGTAAATTCCAGGGATGCTCCTAACCCTAGGTTCGAGCTATAAAATCAACAACAGAGCGTTACAGTCCAGTCAGCATTCGCGTCCGCCGCCAGCACTCTCCTCTGCAACAAACAGCTTGAGCCCCCACGCCAGTTTTTTCCGTCTGGTTTGTTCGTCTCTGCTTGCGCCTTCCTCTTTCCGTTGCGACTTTGATCCTCTCGATTCGATTTGAGAGACACCGATTGATCATTTGTCTGAGATCTCGGATCTTGAATCTCTCCCTTTTTTTTGTATGAATTATTTGTGATTTGAAGGGGTACGTGTATCTTTCGACGATCTGTTTCATTATGCTTGCTCAATCTGAAATAGGAGTATTTTCTGAAATTTCTGTTTGCTTGTTGATTTGATTTTTTTTTTATTACTTGCGAGGAGTTGGAGCGACCCTGATGCAGCAGTGATGGTAAAAGAATGACTCTTACAATCATGAGGCTCGTGCTTCAGCAGAGTACGGACCCTGATTACTTTCAAGCACTGTTGAGCTGTATCTCGCTCTTCTTTCCTCGCCTCATGCAATTTTTCCCTCAAATGCCACCCGTTTCTTTCTGTGTTCGTGTTTCGCAACCCGAGATACTCAGGCCATTTAAATCTGAAGTCCTAGGTGTCACATGTCGCGTAGTGGATACTACTTAAAAAAAAAAATTATAGAATCCGTTAAGTAATACACGGGACAAATTTATTAAGCCTAATTAATCTATCGTTAACACATATGTTACTGTAGCACCATATTATCAAATCATAGGCTAATTAGACTTAAAATATTTGTATAACTATGTAATTAATTATTTTTTTAATTTATATTTAATACTCTATGTATATATTAAACATTTGATGTGACAGAGTAAACGATAGAGAGAAAACTCCATATTTGCTGGGATAGAGAGTAAACGGGAGGAAACTCTAGGAGGAACTAAACAAGCGTCAGGTGACGCTTCTAAGCTGGGAAACACACAACATAGGCTCTGTTCATTTCGCTGAAAAAATAAATTAAAATATTATTCCGACTGATTTGTTGTAAAAGAAAAATCCTATTGTAGCTAAAAAGATAAGCTGAAAAATACAGATATAAGACAAGCGAACGTGATTGCTTGCCAGAAAAACTGGAGTACATTACGAACTCAAGAACTGGAGTACGACACGTCATTGCTTGCCAGAAAAATATGCAATTCAACTGACCACAGAAATAGCAGAAACCCTCAAGAAATAGTAAAGAGAGCCAAACATGGCAAGAAAGCACGCCTATGGGACCGAGAACGGGAATCCACAGGATTGGAAGGCCTAACCGTGAATGGCAACTGGACAATGGCAGTGTAAACATGAACACATTCTTTCCGGTACTTTGGGTTGCATTGATATTGATGCACAATCTACAGGCAGTACCTGTTCAAGTACAATCAGAGGGTTGATGCGACACCGGAACAAGCATGCCGCGTTCACTTCTATACGGAGGACATACACATACACACATTAAACCAAAAAGGCCTAACACAAGTGAGTGCAAAATTCAATGAAATGAATGGAATACATAGCTATTTCTCTGAAATAATACATGGTGCTGTACTTGTATCTAAAAACTAGCAAGGACTTCTTTCATTTCGTTGACCGACATGATCGGCTCATTCCCATATATCCGTGTTACTATCTGAACAAAGCTCTCGTATTTGTCCAAAAATTCCTTCTGCAAGTGTTGAGCAGATTAGGCAATCAGCTTAAATGGAACGTACGTGTATGTTCGTCTGAAGCAACGACTCCTGGGGGCAAGGACAATACTGAACTAAACATTCATAATAATAGGATGGTCAAGTGGCTAACCTTGCACTTGTCCCACAGCGAAGGAAACAACTCATCAGAGGTCAGTGTCTTATGCAACCTCCTGTACATGGCGCCAATCGACTTATCAATCTGCACAGTTTTACATTGTGTGAGTTCACATGGTCACCATGAGATGACACACCGGCCACTTGATCAAACAAAATAATCTGGCATTCAATTGCTGTAATTTATTTGAAACTAGAAGACAATAGTAAGTCTGTAACCCCACATGGTAATATGCTAACAGCTTAGGGCAAGAAGTGACAATTGCCACCCTACTTTGTAAAAAGCTCTGAAGTGCAACTGATTCGAAGCAGATATAGACTTACCCCAGATAAGCTGGATTTCAGTACCCTCCTTAAGTCAGTTTTTGACAACCCCAGCTGAAACGGGATCTGAGAATTGACAACAAAAGTTAGACGGCTTACTAAAAAAAATGAATATTCAAAGTTCATTTATTGTCACTTCCCAATCACAGTATATATCATATAATAAAGTTTGCTCACCTCCTCAGCAGCAATGGTGTATGTCAATTCTTCAACTTTTCGGTTGAATTGAAATAACCTCTCAAATTGCTGCCAAAGGTCCAAAAAGAAATCTTAGATCTGTCAGAGAAATACAATATATCCACAAGAAGTTTGAATAAGTTTACATACGAGGTAAATGAGTGAGCTGATATGGCGAGTGCAAGCTAGTTCATATGATTCACTGGCTTGATGGTAGAACTTTGCAAGCGTTGGCACAACATTAGCCAAGTCATAAAGACTGCATCAAACAACATATATTGTTAGTTTTGTAGACCCACCTATGCATTAAAGAATGAAAAGGAAAGGATGACTATAAGTGAAAGATCATATGCTCAAACATAGGACAAGCCCAAGTTAAGGAAAGATGAAGGAAGAAACATAACCTGTTCTGGAAAGCAGCATAATTCTCAATCAGCACAATATCAGCGGTTTTAGGATCACTCTGTGCAATTTTCTCCAAAGTTGCGAACATTGTGCTAACCTATTCCATGATACGGAAAGCAGTTTAGCCATATATGGTGAAAATAAAAGTACTCAGCTTACAAAAATACAGCTACCAAGTAAAATAGAAATCTTGCAACAATGCAAAATCTTACGATAAAATCTTCCTTGACTCTAAACTGACTAATGGCAACATTATGCCATGTATCTCTAAAATCTAAATTACAGTCCCATTGGATAGAAAGTAGAACTTATCTACTTAGGATATAAAAAAACTATTATACACCATTTGGTGCAATAGAAGAAATTTGTAAATAGAATCTGTTCACTAAAGACACCTTTTAATGGCACCTATAAAGCCATGGAGTCTACAAGTGTTGATAAGCAAGCAAACAGCAATGAAACAACCCAAAGTATACCACATGCCATATGCTCATACACAGTACTACTAACACAAATTTATGGACTAAATCTGCAAAATATGCAATACCAAGAATGCAAACGAGTGCAAGATTGCAAAGGAATGAAACTCACTAGCTTTGTGTATGCTTTATCAATTAAATCCCTGGACTGCCCTTGAATATACTGTTCCATCCGTGATGCAAGGACAGCAAATCTATATGAAACACAGAACAGTCAGATCTTGGTCTCTGTTTGCTACTTCTGAAAAGAATCTCAAGACAAAAAAACTTCTCACAGTACACCCTGCAATAAGCACAATTTTCTCCATAGTGCTCTTGTTATCTTGAAGCAGAACTTTATCATATAACCACCACTGCCAAGAATAAGAGCACCGGAGTCTTGCTGCTTATTGCCAGTTTTTATGTTTCTGGCTAAGAGCTGAGCATAGGCAAAACATATGTGAGAACCTGCTGAGTCATACCAATTTTATCCTCTGTTGTTTTCACAGGGAATATAATGCTATAGGCAATGTGTTACCACATTTAAACAAGGTTTTGCAAAGTACCAATGAGAATGTTTTAACTTTTAACATGTATGTTACTATGAATATTATGAGCTATTATGTGTCTTAATGAAATCCAAAATAATTCTAGGAATTTGGTCTACGTGTAACAAAATTAAAATTTAATAAATAATAATGCCATACTAGGATTTAATAAGACAATAAACAAAAGGTGAGACAACATGCATGGAATGTTTAATCAGCATATCTGTATCAGAAAGTACTCCCTCCTTTTGTTTATACAAGGCATATTAGGATTTGAAAATGTCAAACTTCATAAATTTTTATTACCAACTAGTCAATGATATGCATGCTTAGTTTATGAAGTTTATATCAACAGACTATGACACTGATTTTGTAGTAATTAACGTGGCATTATATGAGAAATCGATGGTCAAAGTACACTTCGAAAAACTTCTTCAAATCCCAATATGCCTTATAAAAAAGAACAGGGGGTAGTATTAAATTATAATACAAGGCGACTAGGCTGGAGTTACAAATAAATCACAGTGCTAATCCATCCAGTACAAATACCTTGGAATGTAGGCTAGAATTCCAGTTTGCCGCACATTTCTTTCATTACGCTCAATTTGATGGCACGCTTCATCAATAAACTGAAACAAGAGAAGAAATAAAGATCTAAACAAGCAGTGGACAGAAAAGCCAGCCTGTAATGAATAGCTACACTGAGCAGCTTAGGCTCAGCAAGGGAACTAACCCGGCTGAACTGTACTGATATTCTTGATTCCAAGTCATCAAGTAGTTTGCGAACAAATCCTGCAGCATCAGCTTTCTGTCCAGAAAGGTAGCGCTCTGTAATCCCATGCATTGAGATGCAACGCAAGGGGTCAATTTTATACGCCCAATCTACGACCGCATAGAAGTCTTCCTGGAATAGAAGGGGAAAAACATTTCAGTCATTGAAGGAAGCTGCAGTAGTGCACTATAATGTAGATATGAAGAAACAGAAGATTGAAAATCTGACTTTAAATCGGAAGTACTTCATGTTTGTCCTATCAAAAAATATTCTATTTTTACCCTTCTTTACGTCAGTATGGAAGAGCGAGGGTTGCAGTGTTTTATATCATGAAATATACCTGGATTCCATCGAGTAATTCTTGAAGAGCTTCATTCAATGTACCCAGTTCAGCAGAGGTACTATCTGGAAACAGGATAACAATACATAATAAGAAATAAAGCATTAACATTACATCCACGAAACACATACTAGTGGGTACAAGAAAAGATACTGGGTTTCAGATCGTTGCCATCTGGATCCATAAGACCCAGATCATCATCTGCGTCATTTCCTCCGGATTTGCTCTTATTAGCATTAGGAGAACCAGCTGGAACCAGTGCAGGTACTTCAAAGCACATAAAATGTGCAAAAAAAGAACTCTGCAAAGGTAATAGCTATTAGTTTGTCTATCGAGTAAAAACAAAGATAGTCACGTAGCTACATTTAATGAAAGAAAAGGAGCAACCTCATCTACAAGAAGTGGAATAAATATTGTAAGCATCTTTGAGTATGCATCTGAGACTGTTGAAGTATCAGCACTGCTTCCATTATGACCAGAACCGCCAGAACCTTCAAGCCAAATAGCAGGATTCTTGGGTGCTTTTGTACTTGCACGAAGTTCATTGGCAAATTCACGTGCCTGAACCAAATTAAACAGTAAATTCCAAAATTGCGAATCCTTTAAAATCAAATAAAGAAGGCAAATGGATTGTAAACTAATTATCCATTAAGCAGAGGACTCAAAACAAAAACAAAAACAAAAATGAATTGTTAAATGTGAGATGAAACAAAATGAACGTACTTGAAATAGATAAACAGCAAGAAGTGAAATGTATGGTATCATATTAAAAAAACATTCCACTATCCATATCTGACCTCTCGTCGTAGTAGTAAATTAAGGGAATGGCAGTATGCCTTCCTTAAGGGACCTAAGCAGCTCTTGTCCAGACTCTGCAGTAAATTAGCAGCAAGAAATGATAAATGTGGCAATGGAGTAAAATATGTAATATCTAGGCAGGTCCCTTGGCAAGATTATGTCATTATTACCTTTAAGTGCTGCAGAAGTCGGGCATATGTCCTGCATTTATACCTAAGGTCTGCATGATCAGGCCGCTTCAATTGTCCTCGCTGCTTTCAGTTAAAAGTGAACTTTGTAGGTCATCTCAAATGGGAAAGGAAATATTTACTTTGAAAAATGGAGCTCTGAAGAAACCTGTGAAAAGTAGCTTTTGTCACTAATCATGAAGTCTACCAAGCTGGAGAAGTAGTTCCGCAAAAACTCTGATGCTCGTCGAACAAAAGTTGTTTTCAGTTTCTCCAGTTCTGCCTTTTTCTCTCTAACCTGACAATATGTTATACAAAAGTATTCACAGTTCTCAACTTTAAGCTACCACAGAGGAAAACTATAGGGTTTATTAAGGAAACGGTGACACCCAAAGCATATTAAGCATAGTGGCTCTATGAAATACAACACTGTTGATAGAAGCTCTTAAAATTTGTTCCTTAACCAATACAGGTGGATGCCTTTACAAAACAAGTTTTAACAATTTTGTAATGTTATTCAATGTTCAGTGTCACAACTCTATAATGTTAACTATTCTGTAATGTTAGCATGAATGCATGATCAATTCCATGCACTAGTAAATTGTAAACTTGTAGCAAAAAACGAAAGATAAAGATAGCTCACAGCGCGCATGTTGACATAGCATGGGTCCAAATTAGGAACTTCAAGACTACGAATGGCCCCTGTCAACCATTCGCATGCCTCGACATTTTTCAGCATCCGTGACTCTTCAAATGAGCCTCCAGTTAATGATGCTGCAAACTGAATTGGGTATAAACAAATATATATAAATAAATGAATATAAGACATCAATATAAGGAGATGAACATTATTCCTCTCCATCATACCTCCTGTGGAATCCGCAGACGCTCGAGCAATTTATCTAGCTCTTCCATAAGTCCTTTGTTATTTACGGACTGCATCTCCAAGCCGTTGTTACGTGATTCAATCTGGAAAATTAGTTAGCATTGGACCAGTTAAGTGAAGTTCTTTCTTATCAGCATCTAGAAGAATATGTCTTCTGCTAACAATTGACTGCAGGATCACAAAAACAGGCACAAGATTTAATTTTTCAAAATGGCAAGACCAAGAGGCCAGGTTGACACCAAAGGGAGAATCCTACCAAAATTCTGAAACTGATGATAACTAGCAAGCAAAGATTCAGGACCTTCAGCTTCCAAGTGAGTATCGAGTTGATTCAAAAGACCTTGTACCTCAGGTGCTAGTTACAACTACAGAACTATTACAAGTTGCTAGTGTTACTTAGCTTGGTAAGTTGTCTTTTTCTTAAGTTTTTCTGAAACCAATAAAGCTAGCCAGATATGTCCTCAGAAGGGTCAGAGAATCAGACCAGAGGAGCTAGAATTCTGAATGCATATGTGTAGTCATCACAGTAGCATAATATGATATGTAAAGCATAGCACGGGTGGTAAGATCCTTTGGGTTTTGACTGGCAAATAATGGGGTTTGATCTATGGAAACACAGAGGAATATTTTCAATTAACATCTACTCCCTCCATTCCAAATTGTAAGTTGTTCTGGCTTTTTGAGATACATAGCTGTTGCTATGCACCTAGATATAAGTTATGTCTAGATACATAGTAAAAGCTATATATGTAGAAAAGCCAGAACGGGACTTACAATTTGGAACGGAGGGAGTATATCCCACTGCTTTTCCCTTATCAGTAAACTTCCCATACCTGATCGGGCCCACACTAATCCTGGTTTTTAGTCTGTCTGGTTTTCAACTTTTCATAGCTATGCTTCTAACAAGTAAATCAAATAAACTAGAGGAGAAGTATATGTCCACTTCAAATCAGGCAGCTAACAAATAGAACTCCTCAAACATACGTACCGATGCAATATCTTCTCTCATATGCCTCAGCTTCAGGTTGAAAATCCGTAACCACTCATCCATATCATCTACAGATGCACTAGCAGCATCCAGACCCTGCAAGACCTGAAAATCCAAGCAACTAGATCAGTCAATGGATAAGCTTCCATACCAAAAAGAAAAAAACATTCACTCCAGAATAAAAGTGAGATGTGCAATGGCAGTCAGATGCTGTACTATATCATTATCAGTGCACAAAAGGTTAATGCTGCACCACCAAGGAACATAGAAGCAATACCTCTTCTATTAAAGGCTCGCTTTCCAGTAATTGATATACATTTGCGGCCTCCAAAGCCACAAGCTCCTGCTTCAACCTCTCAGAGAACGCATCTGCTTCACCTATGCCCATAACATACCTGCATTACTTACACTATAAGTTTGTAGTGCTACCAAAAGCATTTCAGCAATAGTAAGGTCAGATGCGAGTGATATGCAAACTAATTACACGTGGGAAGATTGGAAAGGCAAAGGGATCTTTGGGCAATGAGATTTTGTATGAGTCTAGTCTGGTCCTTCTAGTGCACGTAATGTTGAACTTAAGTTATTGGTTGTTGCCCCATGAGATCGAGTTGATGGGGCACATGACCAACTGAGTCCCCTGATGTTTCAACTGGTGTTAACATGGAAAGCACAGACCAGGACTAGGTTTAATCTCAACAGAATTAGGGATGAAGTCCTTGTATTATTAAAAAAATGGTAGATAAAAAGTTCGAAAACTACAAAATGAACTACTAGAATGACATAGGTGTACTGCTAAAAGAACTAATAGACTAAGAAATAGTTGTATGCAGTTTTGGTAGTATTTTTTGCAATAATTAGGGGGCAAATCTACGTACAATAAGATATTGCTTGTGCTTACGTGTCAAGAAGTGCCTCCATGTCTTCTTCCTCCTCCTTTGCTTGGGACACGAGATCATTTTCAACATTTACTGTTACTTTCCTCTCGGTCTGAGTAGCAACTGATGTTTCTTGACCATCTTGGGTACTCATTTGATTATCTATGGTCAGTGTATTTTCCTGAAAAGGATTTGGGTTCATTAGAAAAATATCCAGGCAGCAATACATCTACGGGGCATATCAAGCAAAACCATCATTTTGATGAAAATGTGAAGATCAAATTAGTGAGCACCAAATCGATGTGAAATATTGCCCCAAAAATGAAATATCTGTAGTATCAGGCCTTGATGTTTAAAGCTTAAACTAAAAATGAGCTAGGCATTACAGAAACGAGAAAGTTGCTATAAATAGTACTTCCTCCTTTTCTTAATGTAGGATTTGCGAAGTACAAACTTTAACTCTGTATCTTCTCTATTTTCTTTAACTTGTATTCCTCAAATAAAAAAAAGTTCTGTTGGACAGTGACCAGGTCTTCAAAATATAACTTTGATCAGCAGTATCTATTACCCCCTCCATTCCAAATTACTCCCTCCATACTAAAAAATGAAGTCGTTTTGGACAAGGCTTGGGTCAAACATTGGGAATATAAATCATGAATAACTTTTAAGTTGTTGAGTTTAGAAATGTGAAAACCATATGTATAGATTTGTCTTGAAAAATACTTTCACAAAAATTTACATATATCACTTTTTGATAAATATCTTTATAAAAATAAGTAGTCAAAGTTATGCTTTGGAGACCGTGTCGCTGTCCAAAACGACTTCATTTTTTAGTATGGAGGGAGTATAAGTCATTCCAATATTCTTGGAGAGTCAAAGCATCTCAAGTTTGACCAAAATTATAGAGAGTTACAAATATTTATGACATCAAATAGGTATACTATGAAAATATAATTAATGAAGAATCTAATGATAGTTATTTGGTATCATAAATGTTATTATTTTATTATATAAATTTAGTCAAACTTGAGATGCTTTGACTCTCCAAAAAAGTTGGAATGACTTATAACAACAACAACAACAAAGCCTATTTGATTCTTCATTAAGTACAATCTATTTACACAAAATAGAAAAAAATATGGTATTGTGAGACTAGTTTTCAAGACAAATTTACTCATATCATTTTTCTAACATACAATCTTGATCTTCCAGAAGATGTTCACATACAAATTCAAAAAGTTTGACTCATGCAACCAACATGCCACTTTAGTGATTACTGATTAGAGATACCAGATCCTCGAAGATGTCTCCTTTCTTTCTCCAAATAGAAATCAGTTTAAAACTCAAATTTTAAATGTGGTAGCACAAATGTAGGAGAAGGCTTTGTCGCTCCATTGTACATCTTTTCTAAATGAAATGACACACAGCTCTCCTGCGTCCTTCGAGAAAAAATTGGTGTGTGATGTATTGTGGACTTCATTTGGAAATCTTGCAGAACTTTGCATGTTGCTTTAATGGTGCTTAAACTAAATTGATTGAAAATTCTCAACAATACTTTCGTAATCATTAAAAATAATTAAAGTTTACATACTATATATCATCAGCTTGTAGGAATCAAATTTCATCTCAATTTTAAAGTATTGTAGATAGACAGTTTGTGTCAAATTAGTTCCAAGAAATCACTGTGTAACATAGGCATTCTATTTATTAGAAGCAATGAAGAGAGAGAAGTCAAGGGCACAAAAAAGTCATGCTCACAATGGATAGAAAAGGTTTTAATATGCACCTTTGCCCAAAGAGCTAGCTCCACAATATCAATTCCAACAACTTTCGGAAGATAACTGAGTATCTCCTTGCACATGTTCAGAATACAAAAAAGTAGACGGTTTCTGCAAAATATATAGCAAAGAATGAGATGTAAAGCAGAGGGGACAAAAGAAGATGGATAAAGTAGCAGTCTAGCAGAGTCTAATACCACACAGCAAACTTTCTAGGCAACAACCTGTCATCGATGTTACGCATCGTCCATTGTGGCGGGGCAACACTCTGACTCCTAAGGTTATCAAATCCCTGCAGTCCGGACATAAAACATAAAGAGTTAGTAATGGATATAACTGATGTTTTCTTAAAATACTCCACAAGAAGCATTGCGTGAGAGATCAAAGTACATACCAGAACAAATGTACAACCACTGGGATCATTGGAAATAACCTCAACCTTTGTTAGATGTTTCAGCTTGTAAAGTTTGGCTGACTGAAATAGAAGAAATAAAACAGGAGAAGACTAAGTTTCTTGCAGCAAAGTAAGTAGCAACCTTCACCAAGAGCCAGAGGAAAAAAAAACTAGTACAGTATTTTATTGATGCAGGGGTATTACAATATGCAATGCTAGCTTGAGGTAGTGTTCATCCAATCAATTGTGAGTGATAGAAAACAGAAGGACAATAGTATATGTAATCATGTATGCAATGAAAATACACAGTGATCAAATAGTGTTCCATCTTTCAACAACAGCATCTATACCCTCATGAAAGCTTAAGGCACCAAACAAGATAACCCCATTCCTGTAATGTACTGGACAACTATTAGATAGCAAGATTGTCAGTACAGAAAACAAACCTCAAGCACTGCCCCAGATGAATACTTTAATACTCGGAGAAAAGCTTTGTTTGCCTTGCCTCTTGATGATTTTGTAACTGCATGAAGCTAAAATTGTTCAGCAGTTGTTGCAAGCATATGTCTTCTACACTAACACAGTTACTACCCTATGTTTCCAAGCACATAGTGACATATTTATTAATAGATGCCTATCATATGTCACCCAAGCTACAGCTACTGAACAGAAATATTAGGAAACAGCCACTGGCCACGGTAATAAATTCAAAGTAAACCAAATCATGTATTGGGCAGATATAATGACCGAAGCATAATCAGGGATCCTCTTCAAGAGCCAACCGGCTCCAATTAGACTCTGGTACTACATCATTAAGCTCAATTTCTCTTCAAACAATCAAGTGAATGACAACTGCATATAGATCACTGTTTCTTTCATCCAAAAAAATCCTGGCTAAGCTAGGGATCTACTTGTATGAATATGCAAATACAGCAAACAAAGCCTCAGTAGTCAGTCAGTACATAGAACAGCTGTTATCTGAACAAAGAAATCATGGTTGTTGCAATCCTCGAAGCCACCAGTTTCAGCTCATATGCTGAGCTCTCTCATAACAACGCCATTCTCGGCATGTAAGCTGGAACTGTACATCATCCCCTCTGGCCAACTGTGGTAGCTCCAGCTAACCTAAGAAGGACGTATCAAGCAGGTCCAGCAGATCAACTTTGGCAGTTGGCGATTGCTCATCTTCTCTGCTCCTTAGTTGTTATAGTCGACCAATGTGTAAAGTTTGGGTTCCCTCATTTGCACTTTCTTGATCTAGAGCTGTGCGAGGTAACAGCTAATAGGCAAGTTGTGTGCACTTAAGCAATGCAGAGTGGATCCAGGTGTTGAGGTGTGATGAATATAGGCTACTCTTCGTGGTTTAGAGCTAGCGCCTAGTAGCTTGAGATAAGCAACACGGATCTCCTCGAGCCAACGACAAGTGTAAATATCAGCATGACGAGCAAGACTTGGATCCTTGTGGGGATCCAAGCGGTCCAGATCACGACCGTCCGGGCAAGAGTCGTGCTAATGGCGATGAAGCAGCACGTCACCAATGAACTCGGCACAGTCCTCTGAGGCAGGCACCGAATCCGCTCCAAGCTACCCAACTTGGTGCTCTCAGCAAGCCCACCCCTCGCTCGCAGCGCAGCGCAGCGCAGCACAGCAAACCGAAGCGGGGACAGAGGTGAGGCGAGGAGGGAGAAGGGGGGGAGCGCTCACCGGTAAGCGCGAGGACGCGGGGCTTGGCGAGCCTGCCGAGCTTCTCGAAGATGCCGTGGCCCTTGGCGACGCGGATGGAGAAGGCCACCTCCTCCCCGCGCGCGCCCGACGCCGCCACGGCCGCGGCGCACGCGCGCCGCAGCTCGGCGTCGTCCGCGCTCGACTTCGCCATGACGCCTCGAGCTCTCCGCCGCGTGTCCAGGCACCCCCGGCTCGCCGCCGATCTGAGGAGGTGGGGGCGCGTGACGCGGTGGGGGGGGGGGGGGACGATAGGTTGGTGGTGGGCGGACGGTGGCGTCGTCTCAGGGAAGGGGAAAGGGAGGAGATTAATCAGTCAAATCATTTTTCTTCGTAGCTGCGTGGGTGCTGCGGTTTACTTTTTACTGGGGTTTTAATTTTTACGGTTTTACCGGCGGCGCTGGCGCGGGTGGAGAGGGAGACGAGCGGGGCGGGGTGGGACTTGCGGTGGAACCGGAACCGGCTGCGAGGCGATCGGTCGGCGGTCGCTGGAAGAGACGCGAGTCCGTGCGGGGCGTTCGCTTCATCATAAGTTCAGAACTGAAGAACTGAAAGTAGGCTGTCCGCTGTCCTGAAGGCTGAAGGTTTTCTTCGCCGGTAGATAGAAAAGGGGAAAAAAACGGAGGTCACCAGCAGACGGGATTATATTATTTAGACTTATTGTTTGACTTATTATCAGAATGTAAGAGGCTGGTTGGGATGAGGCCTCTAGAGCTGGGGGTAGCGGCGGCTATGGTGGTGGTGGCTAGGGTTTGGGAGGAGGGAGAGAAGGGGGTGGCGCACAGGGAGAGAGAGGATGGATAGGGAAGCCTTAGGTTGTTTTTTTTAATCTCAATAATTATATTGCATATCTATTTATAGTCCTGGAGAGACTTGCATCTTAAGTAATCTAACGAGGTAGGTCCTTATAGATATGGACTCCTCCCGATCTACCTAATTTGAACCAATCATATTCATATTCCCTTTCCTTTATTCGCGATCATCCGGATATGGATGTCAACGGCGGGAGGGGGGCGCCCTCACCGTGCGCGCCCTTCCCCTTCAGTGGCGCGGCTGCCCCCCTTGGCGGTTGGGCTGGATGGGCCACCTGCTCCCATCTAGACCCTCCACTAGACGTATGACACCACTCCCTCCTTCTCCGATCAGCGTGTCCTCATGCTAAATCATTGTCCAGTCGTTGAAGCCATTGACAAGGAGGTTGGTACCCCCAAGGTATCTCCTCGATACGAATGAGGAGGTGCCCCAGAGTATCATGTTGTTGCTTGGGGTTGGTGTTGTTGGTAGAGAACTCGAAGCAATACTGGCAGGAGCCGACGTAACCGAAGATGTGGTAGTTGAAGGTTCCTGGGCCTCTTGGCGGTCCATGGGCGTGGCGTGCTGTAGCTAAGGTGGCGCCTGGTAGGATCCCCATGAGGTGTAGCACCTGCATGACCCATGGAGGTCATGGAAAATTGTATACCTGCCCAGCATCGACTTGTCCCATGATGCGTCGACACAGTGCTGTCGCCACCTTGGATGGCGGTGACATGATCAATTGCTTCAGGGTGCCAAAGATGAGGTCGCCTGTGTCATAGTCGGCTAGGTAGATGAGCGGGTGGGCATGAGCATGTTGTCTGCTGATGTAGACGTCATCAATAGTGAGGAATTGGTGATCGTTGCTGTCAAAGAAGACGACGGTTGCCGATGAGAGGATATGTTGTGGCCAGTCTTCAATCAGCAAGACGCTGGAGGGGAACGCCAGGGTAGCTGGTGTGGATGTTGCTGTGTGGAAGCCGACTGCTAGGAGTTGTGGGGTTGTCGTTTCCACGGATTTCAGCAGCTCCTGCAGCAACGAAGAAGTCATCGGTATGTAGTAGCGCCCGTTGTAGAGGATGATGCCTTGTTGGAGCGACCATGCTGGTGTCGCTGCGTTGAGTGCGATGGTGGCAGAGATGATATGGAGTTCCTGTTCGTCTAGGGTGGCGAGGTGGAGCTGGGTGATGATGGCAAGGTTGATGGTGTCACCGAGAATAGAGACTATGTCGGCGTTGTTGTCGACATTTGGAGGCAGCATTGGTGGTGGTGGGATGTCTAGTGTCGGGTCGCCGTGGGAAGGAGAAGAGCAGAGGTACGTGTCGTCCTCCCCGTCGAGGCGTCCCTTGCCTGCTGTGCCCCGAGATTGGGACCAGCGGCAATGGTGATGTCGTCAAGGTGCGCGGCCGCTCCGGTGTTGTAGGCGACGAATAGAAGGAGCACCTTTGTGGGGGTGTTGTGGGGTGTCGGAGTCATTGCCGGAGGTGGTGCCAAGTCATGTTCCATCTTGCCCGATGGGGTGTCCACTTCCCGTTGTGCTGTGTGGTCAGAGTTGGCGTCGATGTTGGGGATGGCTCGTGCGGTGTTCCCGTTTGTAGGCACCATATGCTCCAGTGCTCGCGCTAGAGCTATGGCCGTCTCCAGCTCTCTTGGGTGGTGTCGTGCGACTATCACCTGGGGTGGATCTTGCAGACCGACGATGAAGAGGCTGATCTGATGAGGCTCGCTGGTGATGCCGACATGTAGCACATACGCGGCAAAGTTGTTGATGTAGTCATTCATGGTGTCGGTGTGTCGAGGCGAAGCGAGGTCGCTGAGCATGTCCTAGCCGATTGGTGGGCCAAAATTGTGGATGAGGTTTGGATGAAACGCACCCACTCGGTCATTGGTGCATCCTTCGTTGAGCGGATGTACCAGAGTTGTGTTGCATCTGTTAAATGAAAAGTTGCATGTAGAAGTCGGCGGCTAGCTAGGGCTGGCTGGACAACCATGGGCTAGGGTGGGCACCGGCCAGGCGGGGGGAGGCACGGCAGCAATGGTGGTTGTGGTGCTAGCGGTGCCGCGAACAAGGTGTTCGAGACCTCTATGACGATCTTTGGGGTGTTGGAGGAGCGAGGTTACTCCATCTTGTTGTTGATTAAGGATTTGCATGTGGTGATCATGACTTGCTTGGTCTCTGCTTAGAGGTTGTTGATGGCGTCCTTTTGATGCAATCTGGTTTGGATGTCGGTGATGACGACGTCTCCATGGCTGCGTGCTTGCTCGATGGCGTGGAGCCGTGTGTTGCTCTCTAGCTAAATTGGATCTGTTATTGATGGAGAATTGTTGCACCCATTAAAGAGCTCATGAAACTTCGTCGTCCAATGATCGAGGACCTTGTGGATATCATTTTTGGCGTTCACCTTAGATCGTGCACGCTCGATGTTGTCTAGGTGGGTGTTGAGTTTGTCGAAGTTTGCATTGATCTCATCGAAGTGGTTGTTCATGATGGTGGAGAAGGTCACGATTATGGTGGTGGTGGCCATCGGATCGATCTGGTCTCCGGATGCCAGTGTAAGAGGCCTGTTGGGATAGGGCCTCTAGGGCTAGGGATAGCAGCTGAAAGGTCCTAACGACTAGAGGGGAGGTGAATAGCCTATTAAAAATTTCTACAACAACACTTAGCAAACTGGTTAGACAATTATGAGACGAAGCAAGTGTTGCGCTAGCCTACTAAAATTGCAAGCCACCTCCCATAACTCTAGTTTCTATAGTCTTTATCCACACAATGGCTATGTAACTACACTAAGTTAGTGTGCTCTCAAAGGCTAACTAAAGAGCCACACTAACCAAACTAACAAGCTCTCACGACTAGCTACACTAAAGAGCTTGACAACTAGTTTGCGGTAATATAAAGAGATAGAGCAAGATGGATATACCGCTGAGTCGAGGAATGAACCAATCAATCACAAGGATGAATACCAATCACCTCGGAATCAAATGATGACACAATGATTTTTTACTGAGGTTCACTTGCTTGCCGGCAAGCTAGTCCTCGTTGTGGTGATTTACTCACTTAGAGGTTCACGAATTAATTGGCATCATCGGCTAAACCCTCAATAGGGTGCCGCACAACCAACACAAGATGATGATCACACAAGCCACGAGCAATTTACTCGAGTACCTTTTGGCTCTCCGCCGGGGAAAGGTCAAGAACCCCTCACAATCACCACGATCGGAGCCGGAGACAATCACCAACCTCCACTCGACGATTCTCGCTAATCTAAGCCATCTAGGTGGCGGCAACCACCAAGAGTAACAAGCGAAACACGAACACCAAGTGCCTCTAGATGCAAACACTCAAGCAATGCACTTGGATTCTCTCTCAATTTTACAAAGATGATGAATCAATGATGAAGATGAGTGGGAGGATTTGGCTAAACTCATAAGGTTGCTATGTCAATACAAATGACCAAGAGAGTGAGCTAGAGCCGGCAATGGGGCTTAAATAGAGCCCCCACGAATAGAGCCATTAACTCTCTGTTCTATGAAATGTCGAGGCGACCGGACGCGCCGGTTAGATCGATCGGACGCAGGACCCCAGCGTCCAGTCGCATGATGCATGCCACGTGTCCCCTACTTCAAACGCTGATCGTCCGATCTCAACGGTTATCAGTATATTTAAGTTGTGACCGGACGCGCTGATCAAAGTGATCGGACGCAGGACCCCTGCGTCCGGTCATTTCCAGTAAGGTTCCAGTCACGATCGGACGCGTCTGATCACGACCAACGGGACGTAGGACCCCAGCGTTCGGTCACTTCCAGTAAGCTTCTAGAGGTGGAAATTCACGACCGGACGCATCCGATCGGTCACAATCGGACGCAGCATCAGCGTCCGTTCCTTTCTCCTCTTCTCTGTGCTGCCACATCAGCGGGAACGAATGCACCCCGCCAGCGTCCGATCACGAAGTGACCTAGCGTCCGGTCGAAAACCGACGCCAGCGTCTTCAATGCTTCCACTGACCGGACGCACCGGTCCAGTTGAGGCCAGCGTCCGGTGCACTTTGTGAAACCCTGTCTTTTCTGTACAGGGTGCCGGTGGCACCATCGGACTATCCGCACTCTACGGGCGGACACTCCGCCAGTGAAGTTTCGAACCCTTACTCAAATGTGCCAACCATGAAGTGTATCACCTTGTGCACATGTGTTAGCATATTTTCACAGATATTTTCAAGGGTGTTAGCACTCCACTAGATCCTAAATGCATATGCAATGAGTTAGAGCATCTAGTGGCACTTGGATAACCGCATTTCGATACGAGTTTCACCCCTCTTAATAGTACGGCTATCAATCCTAAATGTGATCACACTTTCTAAGTGTCTC